GCTCTGGCCAGGCCGTTGGAGGCGGCGAGGGTGAAGTTGCGGCCGGTCAGAGCCGTAGGGACTCGGCGACCATGTCGGAGGACAGCCGGAGCTCGACCTGCCAAAGAACTTGACATGGCCGACGGCATTGTGAAGGATTCAAGGGATCAATGCGACAAAGGCCTTGGGGAAGAGAGAGAATACTCGAGGTCAGAGCCAATTGAATGGTTTTTGGACCAAGAGAGAAGAGGTATTATGGCCGCCGGGGAGGGAAGGTTTGTGACTCTTCCGTGAGCTTTGTTAGAGTTGTGGGGAGAGAAGATGGTCGCAGCGGTCTTCGTCTTCAGCGACAAAAGGCGGTCCGAACTGTGATAAGATAAGGAAATTTTTCTCTCAGCGGTTGTTGAATTGGCCGATCGGGGGGGCCCAACAATGGCTCAGGACGCTAACTGGGGTGGTATCACATCCGTCTCTTCCCTCAAGGCCCCGTCTGCTGCCCCGTCTACTGCGCCAGGGACCACTTGGGCGCCGTTATCGCAACTTTCTGCGTCACCGCAGTGACTGTACACACCCTCGCACATCCATCTCTCTCTCGCTGAGGGACCACCCTGGTGTCTCCCGCCCTCACCTCTAATGAGCGAGGCTTGGGATTTGGCGAAAATTTCTGACAGTGCAGGTACTGAACAAGGTTTTACAGCGTTGTCAAAACTCTCAGCAACGCATTCTCGTCTGTAACCGTTAGATGCCCCGAGCCGTTCCCTGGCTTTTGGTTTGTCTTAAAACGAGAGAGTATTTGAAGCTGGTGGTTCGCCCACTGGTTCGTTCCAGCCGACTCGAGCTTTGTGCATACCTTGCCTTCCATTCTTTCCTGCGTGTCTGCGGAGGTAGGTAGCCCTGAGCTCAAGGTGCCCAGACATTGCTGGCAGCTTGGACAACATGCACTGTTGAGTCACGGAAACAAACTCTTTCGGGATGGAAATAATGCTACATGTACAGTACATATCGGGAGTGTACCTTAATGATTGACTCAATTGAGACGGCTGGAGACCCATGGGGACTTGCAAATATTCCCCGGGCGTGCTGCAGTTGCTCCAGTCAATCTGGCAAGGACTACTCGACATTGGAGTCCTGGGGGAGTGACTCACGGCGCTCGCTCGCTCGCTCGTTCGCTCCTGCCCGTCTGTCGTCTACTCTCACTGAGGCGCCACGGTGCTCAGTGAGTCTTACACCCTGTGCCAGAGTCGAATTGCACGCACCTTTTCGTCCTGAATGAGGGCCCGAGCTTCTTACCGTTTGGGATGCGATCTGACGTTTGGCCTAACCAACCCCGCTACATCTGGCATTTGCCCCGCCTTTAGCACTCAGTGCCGGGGAGTCGTCAATTTTTCATCTCAACCATTGGCCAATGCCTCAACTACAGTCCGAGCAAATGCCGCTGAACGACTCGGAGGCGGCCGAATCGGTCCTGGCGCCGATGACACCAATGACACCGATATGGAATGTCAAAATCTATCATGAGGATCACCTGCCGACCCTTGCCAGACGTTGACAGCTCATTTAAATCGTCCACCTGCGGAAGGGTAGCCGTGGGGCAGCTGAATCTCACGATCGTCGATGGGACAGACCTGAGTCCTGACACCCTGGTAACCTCATGGTTGACAGCTTGACAGTACGACCTTTCAAAACGTGATTGGTATTCCATTCGCCAACATATGCCAGCCCAAGCTCATCTCATGTAAGTCGTGTCCCTTTTTCTACTTTCCCATGCCGAATCCTCTAGTTTTTGTCAAGTCTTACTGCTGGGTTTCTCTCAATGAAGTTCAAATCCACCTTGTGTCCCAACAGCTCACGAATGTTGGAGATGCCGTACTTGATCATAGTCGGTCTCTCCAGGCTCAACCCCCAACCGTATACTCTCAAATCCTTGGGCAGACCCATTGCCTCGAGCATTTCCGGTCTGAACATACCGCTGTTACCGATTTCGACGAGCTTGTTCAAGCCCTTGTGGAAGCTGAAAATCTCCATACTCGGCTCCGTGTACGGGTTGTACGCCGGCTTGAACTTGATGTCTGTAATACCCATCTTGTTGAAGAAGATCTCCATGAACTCCATCAAGCCTCCCAGTGTAAGTCCGTAATCCGCAATGACACCCTCGACCTGGTGGAACTCAGCCAGATGCGTAGCGTCGACACTCTCGTTACGGAAGACTCTGTCGATGGAGAAGTAACGGGCCGGAGGAGGTCTGCCGTCCGGTCCCTTTCTGGAAGCCAACTGATGAAGTACTGCGGTGGAGATGGCTGTCGTGTGCGTGCGGAGAACAAGCCTCTGAGCCTCGTCCGCAGCCCAGGGGTAACGGTAGCCGATTGAGCCAAACTTGCCATCCTGGTGGACCTCCTTGACGTTGTCCCAGTACGTCTTGTAATCCTTCTTGTCATCTTCCGACTCGGGACCAGGCTTGTCTGCAACCTTGGGATCCGAGATGTAGAAAGTGTCCTGGAGATCTCTCGCGGGATGTTGTTGGGGCACGAAAAGGGCATCGAAGTTCCAGAATCCAGACTCAACGAATTTGTCGGTCGGCATCTCCTCAAAGCCCATCTCGAAGAAGATTTGACGGAACTCGTGGCGGACCTTGTTGAGGGGGTGAAGCGCGCCAGAGTTCTGGTCGGATCCAAGAGCCTTGAAGTTGTACGGCTTGAAGTTGGCAGTCTTCCATGAGCCAGACGCAATCATGTCAGCCGTCAAGTCCGTCTCCTCCTTCTTGATTTCCAATGCGAACTCAGGTCCCTTCTGGATCTTGTATGCGATGACCTTCTGGGTCTTGATGAGTTTGCGCTTCTTCAAGTCGGTGATGATCTTGGGCTCGTGGGTCTTTGTCTCCAGGATCTGCTTAAGCTGAGCCTGAGTAACATCTTGAATCGAGTCGGCCTGCGCACACGGTATTAGCATGTAGTGGTGACATTTGAGGCAGACAAACTTACAGTCGCAATGAGCTTGCCGTCGCCACCCTTCTTGATCCACTTCTCCTTGAAGGCCTTGCCTTGGCCGACCTTCGTCACATTCTTGTCTCCCACAGCAGCCTCAAGCTCTTGAACCGTCAACCCCTCCAAGGCTTTCCGGACCGCCTCAAAGACACGAGCTTCGTGGCTGCCGTGCTCAGCAATTTGCTTGCCCTCGGCCTCAAGGACGGCTTCCTCCCGGTCAATTGACTCGTATGTGACCATGGAACGACTAGCGAGGCGGTCCAGTGCGGCCTTGACGTCTGTGAAGTGGAACTCTGGGAAGTGCTCGGCAGACAGGATGGGATCCTTCTGGGACAAAGCCAAAAGGATCTGGGATGTAAGGTCCCCAGAAGGACCGTTGCTTGCCGTCGCCATGATTTCGTGCGTTGTTGTCTGGATAGGTGGCTTGCACGTCGAGATGTCGATGTTCGGCTCGTTGAGTCAGAGGGGCACTTGTAAATTAGGCGGGAACTCCTGGCAGAAATTTGGCCGCTGCGAATGTCGAATCGGAGGGGAGTGTGGACCCTTGCGCGGGATGGATGGAGGGGTACTCGTATCAAAGATTCTCCTGTTCCGATATCAGCAGGTGCCCGCGCCAGTGGATCTAGCTCCTGAGCTTACCGCGTCGAGTCCTGGACAGCTTGCCTGCGTGCCTGCCTTCCATTCCTCAAGCTGTGGCGTCACACTTGGTATCCCTGCAGCTGGCTTCGGTCGGCTTTTATCCACATCTGTTCGCATCACGGTCCCAACGGTCGGGAATACCTTCATTCGTGCTTTGATCTTGACAGCCAACTCCACTTTCTCTAGCCGTCATTTGCCAATCTGCTGGAGTATGTGAAGCGTCGCACTTGTCGCCACGCTGCAGGAATCCCCGCCGACACCAATGAGGCCAACGAGCTATGGTCGATGATGCCGCGCCAGAGACCCTGCCAGGCCGATCAATCCCTTTCGGGAACGACCAGGAGGATGGCAGAGGGGATCCAGAGCCTTTAAACCGCGCCGATGATGCAGAAGCTAGAGGTTCTAGAAGAAGGCGACGGCGGAAACATCGAAAGATCAATCCCGGCCTGGCAAAGAAGTTCGACTTCTTGACCCAATTACTGCGGAATCTCGACTCCATAGTATACGCAGAGCTATGCACATTATACTACATGGAGTATGCCACTCTCCCCTTCTTATGCTTCGTCATCTCATGTTCTGACTATTATTCAGGTGCTCCATCTTCCGCTTTGCAGTTCGCGTCTATGGCCAACACCACTGGCTTACACCCAAGCCTGACGACTACCCATTGACTATGGCGGCAGCCCGGTCACAAGTCATATCAGTGTTTGTCCCGAACTTGCTATGTATCTTGCTACATATATTTGCATCCCTACCTGTAGCTGGCGAAGCTGCGCGTGGCTATCTTCACGGCGGCGTCATCGTCGACTTCATCGGGCAGAAACCACCAACCTCGAGGCTTGCTTTTCTAGCTCTCGACTGTATAATACTGGCTGTGCAATGTCTCATGCTGGCTGTCCATGCCGAGCGAGAGAAGCTACGGCCTATTGTAAGGCCATTGCTTTTCCGCCTGCCCCCGGCACTAGAAGAGACGATCGGTCTTTCGACCCAAGATCACGACGCCGAAGAGCGGGGCATTTTGAGAGATGCACCTGGACTGGACATGGAAGGCGCAGACAGCGTGGAGCTCCAGTCTCTGAGGCCTAACGGCGAAGCTGAACATGGCCAGGAACCTTCACGAAGGAGGTCCTCAAGACGACGCTCGTCCTCGAATGCAGCCAGTGGGATGCATTTATTCGATGTCTTCAGTTCAGGAAACGGCGATTTGGGGGAGTTCCACATATCTCACACTATTAGACACGCTACCACTGATTACTGGGGAGCGGCAGGTCACTCGCTTCAAACCCTGGGTTATACCGCGACATTGACGAGACTGTCCGCAATGAGGAGGATACCACAGCTAGAACGCAACCAGAGGAATCAGAGGTAGTCTAGATGGTATCATGATCGCATTCTGGTATCTTAAGCAATTTTGCGACCAACATTACCAACACCGCTTCCCTTGACCGAAACAAGTATATCGTTCGACTCGTCGTCTTCAACATCCCTTAAACCCCAACTACTCGCGCCGAATGTCCGCAAGTCCCTGGCGAGCCCAACCATCTCTTCTGTTCCGATGACATCTCTTCCTATCCTCAATCTTCCTACATCTTCAGATCCCATAGCCATCAACGTCATGACGGTGCTGGCCGATGCTTTGCTGACACATCCACCTTGCGCAATGGTTTCCAGCAGTTGATAGGCACAATTTTTGCCAATATCTTCAGGCACTACGCCGCCCACAGGTGGCGCTACTACATCTGCCGAGTAGAGAACACCTACAGAGCTCGACTCAGCCACCAAACTGAGACCGAAGCCAATGCCCGTTCGTGTCTTTGACTTGTCGGCCGCCGTGATAAGAGGTGCTGTATCGTACTGCGCTGCGATATGAATGTCTGAAACGAGAGCATTCAGGACCTCTCTTGCTGAGTGAATCATTCTGCTGTTGTTGGACGCTGAGACTCCCGTACAGTATGCGACTCCTCGTATCCTCCTTATCTTGCCGGGATTGCGGTTCAGGTGCAACGTTTTCGGGAGTCGGACCTGGCTTGCGAACCGGAGCTCAACGACACCACCGCCACCTCTACCATTCTTTCCAGGGCAGGATCGCGACAGCACTCTCAGCTCAATTCGCGCAGGCGGGATACCGAAGAGCCCAAAGAGTGGGAGGATGGCTGTGCGGAAGGAGTCGACAGAGATATCGCCGGTCTCAGTCGCAGATGTGATGACACCCGGGCCAGTGAATCGAATGTTTACGTGCGCCTTCGAGAATGGCGCGAGGAGGCAGATTGGGAGGAGGAAGTAGGTGACGCCGCGGTTGTTGTTTGCGGGGAGGTTGTGCTCGATCACGTCGCCGTCGGATGCGCCAAAGCCAGCCATCGTTCCAGTGATCAGACCGGGGTGGTACGTGATGGTCGTACCGGTATACGAAATTTGCATAGAGCTACCATTGGTGACGGCTTCCAGTAGTCGGAGGAATGAAATCTCGTGGGGCGCAAGACCGGGGTGTGTCGGCGACGAGCTGCGAATCTTAGAGATGTGAACTGGCCGACCAGTCAGAGTTGATATGATTAGTCGCTGCGCAAAGGACCTGTGTCCTGTGAACCGCAGGTACTCGGGAGCGGACGCCATTTTTGCCGTGGGTCGTTTGGGTGCTGGTGATATCCGCGGCCAGAAAAAAAAGAGTAGACGAAGGTGGGATCTAGAAAATTATCTTTTTCTGCCGGGATATGACCGCTGAATCTGTTACAAGTGGTAGGCGGTAAAGGGAATCCAGATGTCTCTGATAAGATAAGCTCTTAATGATTCGCGACGCGCAGATGCAGGTGCACCTAGGTTCAGGGTCCATCAAAAAATCTGACCCGTTTCTCTACGTGCCATGAGCTTCCTCTCTGCTTGAAGCGCCCATTTTCTTCGCTTTCTCCTTTATGTTGACCAACTTCGCCTCTCCTTATGTCTCATAGAACTTTTTTTCGTGACATAGCATGTCGAAACACATTCATTTGCCAATCATGCCAGTCAACTTTGGGCTCTTCTGCCCCGCCGCCATGGGCGATTCGACATAGCTCCCGTATTGCTCAACTAGGAGTCAAGCCTCGACCAGGTGCTCAGAACGCACAGCGCAAATCTTCTCCGACGCCCTCCACCCAAACCGATGCCGATCCGAGCAGAGCAGCCGCCGACCTTCTCAAGGAACTGATGCAAAAAAGAACCGACGAGCCTATTATAAAGTTCTTCGAGAAGGGTGAATCCGGCCAGATTGAGCGGCTGGGGGACGAGGATGCCTTCAGAGAATCTATGGGTGGCGTAGACGATCTGAAGAAGGAGCTGAACCAGACTTTTGCGGCTGATATGCGGCGCACGCTCTCTCGTTTTCAGAATGAGGGCGGCTTGGGTGCTTTGGGAATCAACGATGTCGACTCGATTGCGAAAGATTTCGAAGACAAGCTCGGGAATGCCAGGAACCCCGAAGACACATTGGAGAGCTTGAACGCATACATCAAAGACTTAGAAAGCCAATTCGAGGCAAGAGGATTCGATGTCAGCCAATTCGATTACAAGAACCACGCGGCAACACTGGGCGTCATACAGGCGACTGCTCGCGTGGACCCCTCACAACGAAAGAAGCAACCCCCAATTCCGCAGATCCCCGAGAAAGTGTGGAGCTTCAACCAGCGAAAACGGATAGTACGATTGAACACGCTCCTCTCCCGAACGACTAAAGAGATGCGACGAGGTGAGGATGTTACGGCAAAGACTGCCCAGACGGTGTGGAAGACGTACGGCGCGGCGAGGCAATCTCTAGCCAAGGCTTGGGCGCATGTTCCTCAAGACGTTTGGAACCTTCTGTGGGACATTCTGTCGCTTGACGATGCGAAAAACCCAAGCCGTCTCACATATCTTTCGCTGCTAGCAAGAGACATGAGCGAGGCGAAGGTTGCTTTGAGCCCTTCGCAACAGCTTGTCACCGTCGAAGCCATGTTTGTGGACGGATGGGAGGCCAAGGCCATCGATAACTGGAAGCGATGTATGTCCACCCTCGGCGACAGTGGCGCAGATACCTTCAAGGAGTTTTGGGAGCTTGGAGTGCGCATGTTCTGCCAACAAGGTGATCTTGTGCAGGGAGAACGCGCGGTGAACAAGCTGCTCGAGCGCCAACTCGATCCACGCATTCTGTTGCCGTACATTAGGAGTTGTGCAACAAATCCGAACGCGGAGCCAAGGATAAAGGCCTGGGACGCATACCGTCGAATGAGGGACCTTCTTGGCTCTTCAATGGGGCTCGAGGACTACGACCAGGTGATCTCTTTCTTCCTAACGACTGGACAAACGGAATACGCTTTGCAAGCCTTCGTCGATATGATGAGCTCTAGTACGGTCGAGCTGAGTGGACGAGACCGATTGCCTTCTCAAATCGGCAACAAATTCTTCTTCGGAAAATGGCTGAAACGACTTATCGGTGCTGGAGACCTCGATGGAGCGCATAGCGTCTTCGAATTCATGCGCTTTAAGGGCATCGAAGCGGCCAGCATTCAGGTGAATGGGCTTATTGGTGCCTGGCAAAGGTCAGGTGGCGCCGATAATTTGGAGAAGGCGGACAAGTTGGCATGGCAAATGATCGATGCTCGCGTGGAGTTTGTCGAGAATCGACGTCGACTTTCAACCATGGAAGGGCCGGTTCGTACAGTCGAAGTGTCTGTGAAATCTCATACAGCTGCCATGCCCAAGGCCACGCTCGAAACGTTTTCCCTACTTGCGGAGAATTATCGCCTTCGAAGTCTTCATGCCGACTTAGCGAAGTTATGGGACGCTTTCAGAGGAGCAGAAATCAGCCCGGACGCCTTCATGATGAACCAGTTGCTGGAGTCACACTCACAGAACGGCAACATCTCTGAGGCACGCCAGCTGTACCAGACTCTCGTGTATGACCGTCAGGTCAAACCTGATCCCTACACGTTCATGGCATTGTGGAAGATGCTTGGTGCCAATCGTCTGCACAATATTGCAGGCGACGAGCTCGTCAACGAAACCAGAATTACACGCGAGACTTTTGCAGAAATGGTTCGCTTCGCGTCTGTGTTCAAACCAGACGGTCTCGACGGGCAAATCGCGAGGAAGATCCTCCACACATTCCGCCGACTAAAGGACAAAATCGGCATCGTCGTTGCCCTCCAGGCTTTTAAGGCTGTCTTCGACTTCACTCCGCCTGAGGTGTTGGCCCTCGAGATGATGATGGAGACTACAAGTCTTGCCTGGGAGACAACGCAGGCGCGACAGAAGCTTCGCCTCATTAAGCGCAAGATTGACTCGCACGTCGAAACCCGACAGAAGTCCATTGGAGGAACTCTGACTCTTGACGAGATGTCGCTCAAGCAGCGTGGCGAGGAGTACTCGTCTTACTTGCAGACGGCGTACATGCAAGAAGCTGATGAGCTGGCCAAGGGCCAGGTGTCGATGGTAGCCAAGGAGATGGGCGTGTACGATATGTTGGCACGCAAAGGCAGGGGCTAGACGCCACAAGTCCTCTCTGTAATATCAAGATGTAGATATTGTACACTATAATGACACTCAATACTATGATACCATGCAAGCAAAATTCCATTCCCACTTAGTCGTGATCCTCTTCCGTGACACCAGGACACCCCTCCAACTCATCGTCCGGATACGTGTACTTGCACCAGAAACAGTACCGATGCTCCCTCCTCAGATACTCCACCAGCCGCCGCAGCTTCTCAGCGTCTTCCAGCTCGTTGAACTCGTCAAGCTCGGGATCCTCCTCGTCCAGGTCCTCCGCGGTGACGTAGACAACCTGCTTCTTGCCCAGCGCCGTGCGGTCGTCGGCGTCCTCATCGTCGTCCTCGTACGTCGGCAGCCGCGACAGGCTCTGCTCCAGATCATACCTCATCCTGCGGTCCCGCTCCTTTTCCTCGCGGTGGCGGGCGAGACCCCTCCAGAGGACGTTGATCGACTTGAGCGGTCTCGACGCCGCGCCGGCCGCTCGCGTCTTTTTCGTCGTTGTCTTGTCCTTCTTGCCGTCTCCCTCGTCGTGATGACTGGTGCCGTCCTCCGCTGCCCCTTCGACAACCAGCGACTCGGCCACCTCCTCGCCCTCCTTCTCCTCCGCCATCCTCTCCGAAACCCGCTGCGCCGCAAACACCTGCGCCTGCACCCTCGCCGCCTCCCTCTCCATCCTCACCCGGTCCCGGTACTCCAACGGGTCGACCCTTACCCTCTTCCCCTCCCTCACCTCCTCCTCGATCCTCTCCGCCGCCTCCCTCAACTTGCGCTTCCTCTCGCTCTCCATCCCGATACCGCCCCGGTCCGCCTTGACCTCGACGGCAATCGGCTCCGTCCTGGCATCGTTGCCAGCACCAGAGCCGCCTGTCGCCCCGGCACCTGCACCCAGCGCACTGCCCGCCTTGAAGCCCATCTTGGCCATCATCGCGAACCCCTTGCTCTTCTTGGCGGCCGCGGTGTCGAGGAGGGACCGCGAGAGCGCCTTTTCGCGCGCCGCTTCCTCCTCGGCCGCGAGCTCCTCCTTGGACTTGGGCCGGCCGCGGATCTCGCCTTCGCGTTTGAGGCGCTGGCGGCGCTGCAATGAGGTTTCTGGTTGGGATTTTGCTTTGGTGGAGGCGGCTGCTTCGTCAAAGGTCATGTTCATGTAGTCGTCTTCATCGTCGGAGGCTGCCATGGCTTGCTGGATGGTGGCGGATTTGCCCTAGGGCCTGTCCACCTGAAAGTTTTGTATAGGTGTGGGGTTGGTTTTTGAACGCAAGGCTTTCGCGTTCTTGGGTATTGGGTTTGTTTAATGGTGTGAGTGAGGCCGTGTAAGCGTGGACTTGGTAGGTGGTTCTTCAGTGTTATGAGGCGCAGTGTTGGTATGTTGAATCCAGATCTTATGAGCTGGAGAATACACGGCTGACGAACAGCTGGAGAGATCTTGAGTCGTTATACAGGGGCAGCCTCTTAGACGAACATCTGTGATAATGGTGGCAGTTCGCCTTCATCGCAATGTTGAAGTTGAGGGATGTCGAAAGAGCTTGTTGATGCACGTTCTGGGGTACCTTGGAGTGGGACCGACGTCAGCTGGCAGGCCAGGCAGTCAATGGATGGTGGAAATTTAGCTAGTTACACTGTACAAATGCACTTCATATGGACGACTTCGAATCACCTCACACATCCGTATAACAGAACCATGAACGCTGGTGTCTCCGGGCTTTATAATGGCACTCCGTCTGCCGACTGGTTCGTTTGGGTGTGGAATTTTGATTAATGGCCCTTTGCCTAATCATGTATATGAAGCCACGACTGAGCTCTCCACCCCTCCACCTCTACTGGTATTGAATACAAAAAAAGGGAATAAACTATGCCGAAAAGCACCCGTCAACTTTTTCATACCGTAACACAAAAGACCGAAGCGCAAACCGTCTACCGGTTCCTGGCCCTCTTTCTGCCGTCCTTCTCCCTCTCGTACGCATTCGCCTCCCTGCCCTCCTCGTTCTGGATCTCCGCCACGAGCCTCTTGTACTTCTTCTCGTACGCCTCGTCCTTGGCCTTCTTCGCACGCAGGTTCTCGCGGGCCATGAACTGGGCATCCTTTCTCAGTTCTCTCATGGCGCCCTTGCGCTCCTTCTTGTGCTCCTTCTTCAACTTGGCCATCTCCGCACGCTCGCGATCCGGGTCGTAGTGCTTGTTTGGGTCGTACGAGTCCTCGAACTTGGGGATGAATGTCTTGATGGCAAGCGGGCGGTGGTGGTGCAGTTCAAGCGGCCGTTTTGAGAGCTGGGCAATCTTGAGCATGCGCTCCATCTTGAGCTTGGACTTGGCGAGGTGTCCACCAAGAGCCTCAGGGAACTTCGAGCGGCTTGACTTGCTGCTCAGGTGAGCCACAATGTCAAGTGCTGGCTGGAACGTCTCATTGAAAGCAGGCTTTCCAGTCCAGGTGTCTGCAGCAGCACCCAAAAGCTGAAGAGTTGTGCTCAACAGGGCAATTTTCTTGGATTCAGCTTCCGCACCGCTCACCTCTAACTTGGCACAGTCAGCCGGCGAGAGCTGTCGGAGCTCCGTCTTCCGTGCGTTTGCGACGCGAATATCCGCTGCAGGCTCATGAAGAGGGAAGTTGCCAGAAAGCTTCGAGACTGCTGAGGGAGCCAAAGCACACAGGGTGTTGAGAGAGAAACTCATGACCTCTGGAACGTAGCGCTTCGAGAACTGCTGATACTGGACTGCCAAGGTCGAAAGGTAAATACCAGTGGCATAGTCGCTGAGTGTTTGAGGGATCTTACCACCGAGATAGCGCCCGATGGTAAGCATAGCAGGAGTTGCGACCTGGTGGAAGTGATCTGATGTAGGGAATGTCGATCCGATAGCAGTCAGTAGTGTCAGGTCGCCAACATGCACTGCGAGAGGGCGTTGTTGGCTGATCTCCTCAAGATGGGAACGGAACTGGTTGGCAATGTCGACGGGGAACATCTTAGCGAGGGAGTGGATGTGTCGTACCAAACTCTCCAGCACTTGGAAAGATGGGCTGCTGTTGGTCTGTGGGCCGTGACCGATCATGTCCACAAGCGCCTGAGCAAACTTGCCGAGCTTCTCCTTGTTCGCGCTGTTCAGCTTCGGATGGTACAAAGCTCGGATACGCTGCACGATGGTAGGCAGCTTATCGCTAGGGTACTTCTGTGCCAGCGCCGAGAGTTCATCGTAGCTCTGCGGACATGGGAAAGTGTAAGGCAGCTCAGAGCTGTCGAGTTCCGCGCCTCCTTGTGCACCAGGGTTTGCAAACACAGAGCTCTTCGCTTCCTCCTCGTTGAGCAGACCTTTGGTGAATTCCTCGTCTTCGGAATCGTCGCCTTGATATTCCTCCTCTTCCTCCGATTCTTCCTCTTCGCTCTCGATAGGCTCCAGGTCCGAACCGCTGGCAATCAAATCGTCCTCAATGAGGAAGTCGTCTTCATCGTCAAAGCCGAGCTCTGTCGCCGTCGGGCGGGTCTTGGTCTTGATGCCCTTTCCGAGACCGAAATCCTCTTCCTCCTCCTCAGGAAGCCACTGGAAAGCAGGATCTTCGGCAGGTTGATCCTCCATCTCTTCATCCTCCTCGCTTTCTTCGTCGGAAGAGACAGCTTCGCCGTTCATTCTCTTTAAGCGCTTCTCTTCGAGCTCCTTCAGCCTCTTGGATTCCTCCTCCACCAATTCCTCGTCGGTCTTTGTGCGCTCTGTTGGGGCTGCACGGCGGTCCTGAACGAGCTTCTTCAGGCGCAAATCGAATTCCTTGTCGAAAGTTGCCTTGTCAACTCCAGCAATCAACTTGCCACCCTCATCCTTATTCTGCGCATCCGATTTTCCATGAGCCATGAGGAGAGCGTGGAGGTTTGGCAGCTCCTTGTCCAATTGCATTCGCAGGTCCTCATCCTCGTCCTTGGCAATCTGTCGCTCGTACTTATGCATCTTCGATTTCGCAATGACTTCTTCCATGACCTCCTTCTTGGACTTTTTCCTGTCCGGCTCGTCAACCGCTCCCTCTTCGTCTTCACCGAAACCAGCTTCGCGCAGGCGCTTGAGCTTTTTCTTCGCGGAAAGAGAGGAGTCGCTGTCGTCGTCTGAGCCAAGGTCGTCCTCGTCGAAATCGTCGGCCATATCCGGATGGTGCTCAAAGTTGAGAGCCTGACCCATGTGTGTCAATTCGCCCAGTGGTTCGGCTTCCTCGAGATCGAATAGCGATGTCTTCTTGTGTGACCTCTGCTTTTCGCGGGCGAAACGTTCGAGCATTTTGTCTTCCTCGGCCAAGGAGGGGTCGTTTTCACCGAATCGACGATCAAGAATACCGCCGACTTTGTTGCGCTTCTGCATCTCGACGAGAAGTGTCTCTCGGCGCTATCAGATTTATTAGCATCGGAAAGTGCTGCGTAGGAGCGGTAGTGTAGTCTTACCCTCTGCTCGCCCAGAGACTTGGCCTCGGTAGGACGGCCATTGACTCCTCTCGCTGCGGCTCCAGTCTGAGGCCTGTTGGTTGTAACATCGAATTTGGGTCCTCGTGGGTTGTGCTTCAGGTCAAAGGGGTTGAATTGTTCCCTGATTTGTCCCAGCGCAGCACCTCTTTGAAGACGCTTGTCAGTCTTGGCCTTTTCGTCCTGCGCGAATTGGCGTTTCTGCTTCTTAGACTTCTGAGGACCAGTGATTCCCTGCTCCCTCAGGGAGGCTTTGAGCCGCTTGAGTTGCGAGCCGGCCATTTTGTCGGGCGTAAATGATACTCGGCGTTGTTGTCGCTGAGGTACGAGCAAACTCCATCAAAAAGCAAATCGGTCCTTGCACTTGCCCAAATTTTTTGAGCGGGACGGTTGGGTTATCTTATCGGGATGGTGGGGATTGACTGGGCGGTGGCGCAAGGCAGAACCCATGGATGCTTTGGCTTGAGCTCCGAGCATCCATCGTTACAAGCTACATACTCCGTACAGCTGTGTGCCTCGAGAGTTTCCCACACGCGAAAGCTCAATGCTTATGTATCGATAGGCGACCATGCTTCATAGGGCCGTTTTTCAGCATCAAAAAAGATGACTCTCATGTCATTTATCCGCGATGAGCGCATCATCCTTGTTGGCATTGGGGCCGCTACGTTTGGCCTGGTCACTATGATGACCCAGATGCTGACGTACATTCGCGACGACAACGAAGTAAAAGTCACTCCGCCAAAGACGCAGTACATTACACAAGAAACCGAAGACGCGCTTGGCCTTGATACTCTCGACAAGCTGCTATGCCACCCCAACTTCTCCATTCGAGATGTTGCCATCAAAATACTTTGCGACCGTGCTGTAAACGACAGCGGTACGGTGCGACAGCTCCTCTACGGCATCACGCGACCGGACTACGATACTCGTATGAAGAACCTTCGTGCCCTGGCAACGCTTACTGGGCAGACTAATGGTAGGCAAGGGAACCTTTCTTACAAGACGGACGAGCTGACTGACTTTTAGACTTCGCAGAGGGCCTGTCGAAGTTGCACACATGGAGAGCGTACTCTGCCCTCGTCAGATCCCTTGAACTAAGTCTCGACGATACGGAGCAAACGAAACTCGACGACAAATACTGGGACGAATACTACCTTCGCGATATGGCTGAGAGGTTCTGCCTCATGTTCGTACTCGAGCTCATCACCAAGTACGGTGCCGACATGTTGGTCAAGGCCAAGTTCGTGGAAAAGTGGTTGGCCAAACAACATTGGGGAGACACCGAAGCCGAAAGGCAAGAAAACTTCATATACTACATGGAGCACAAGAATAACCGCATCGTCGACATTGTCACGAGGATCGCACACACTACCCAAGGCGCAAAGGCGATCCTCGCCTGCAACCTCGCCGCCAAGACGAGTTTCGACCTCAACCCGGACACCAACTTGGCCGGGTTCACCATTGCCTTGCAGTCCACATTGTGCAATGCAGACGTTGATGACGACGCGGAAGCGCTGCAAGCAGTCGAGCAAGTCCCTCGGACACGAGAGCACTCGGCCGAAGAACAGCGTCTTAGGCGGCAGCACCGTGAGGCAATGGTGTTCAACGACGGTACCAGACCGATAGGAAGGGAGGACATAATCGAGAGAAGCCACGATTCGCCAAGCTAAACAACAAGCATGGTTCCAGCAGAAATGCAAAGAAAAGTCACAGCAGTACGGGCGGGATCGCGAAAGTGCCCGACAGGGACACACAATGTACGCTCAAGTATGGATTCGGAGACAGCATCAACATCGCAACGAGTAACAGGCGACGTGCCGTCAGGTTCCCTGTGGAGGAACTCCTACTCAGCACAGACCAGCGAGAGGATGGATAGCCAGGGACACTCTTAAGCCATCGATATTGAGTAGGGGTAGGGTAGCCTCATGTCGTATGACATGAGTTGGACTAAAGGCACGCGTCAAGACGCGGCATATGTACTCCGTACGGAGCCTGGAGTACAGCATTCGCGTCTAATTGACTCGGGAGGTGGGAGACTCGACCAGAGAAACAAAGGGGCGGGGCTTCTTTCGCGAGCAACAAGCCTGCATGGGTGCAGCCAGCTTAGCAGCATAACACCAGCGATAGAGTTATGACGAGATACAAAGAAGAGGATCGAATTGCTTCTCAGGTTAGTACGTGAAATGCCGTTTTAACCCCACCGTCTGCCGTGCACGATGGCCCAAGGGGTCAAGGTGATAGATTCGCGAACCCAGGTAATTTTCATCCGATGATGGATGCCCTTGGGCGCTGGGGAACTGCCAGGCTCCGGCGTCGAGCTTTAAGAAATTAGCGCGTAAACGCACTGAACCGGTGGCACCCTGTGACACTGGTCAAGCCCAGCTATCCGCACCCGATTCGGAGGCTTGTTCCCAGAAGCTTTGACACTAGACCCCGGGACCCGTCTTTCATCTTCGGCTTGTACTGTAAGTTGTCGGGTACCCATTTCTCGACCGACCAGGCGGTCCTAGTACGGCTCATCCGGTTCATCGGGTCTTGAAAGCATGTGGATTGATTATCCGTGGAGTGCTCTCAGATGGATAATATCGAATGGGAATATGCATTGGGTTACGAACAAGATGAACATGACTTGCGCCGTTCTGACTCGGATCAGTATTGTTTACTTGAGCTTGATGCAGGGGTTTGATACGAGCAGCACGGCGACGAGCCGGAATGCGGGCTCTCTCAACCTCTTGTGCTCCGTACGGAGTACTCTGTGCCTATTCTGTAGTCAGCAGCGCCGTTTGGCGGATCTGATGCGACGCTGTCCTTTCCTAACTGGTGCTCATTCGCATCATGCAGCCGCGTGACGGGCTGCAGGGAGGATCCATCTGCTTTCAACGGATAACCTGGAGGAGCCTCTTTCTCTTTTGAGAGCCGAGGACAGTCCGGAGTAGCAATGCCGCAATGCTCGGTACTACGACACGACTCATTCCCTGGCTTTCTTGGAGTCGGTTCGACCGTTGAGGATGAATACACAGTAGGTTTTCATGGGCGGGCTGCCGGGATGAGGGGGTACTGACGAGGTAACATTTGTTGTGGTAATTATGTGACCCTCCAAATCCGTCAGAATTCGACCGGTGTCTGTCTAAATTTGGGAGGCGCAGACGGAACGAACTGGTGCATCGAGCCAAACTTAAGATTGCCTGGCGATATTGGACTGTGAGTGGTTGCTCGCAATAACTGCTCTGATGCTACGCCAGTCACAGTGTAAGTTGCATTGATACATTGGATAGTAATTGCTTTCCAGAGATGATAGGGCCCATGTGCAACTGCAGAAATTTTGATGAAGCACACCATCAAGATGAGAGGAGGCAGATTTTCCCACCCATGGTGTGAGTAGCTCTGCTGGTGAACCACCCGCTGCATGACAACGAGCAACGGCGGCGTGAGGAAGAGACAGGTTCTGTACGGATACTCCTCAGACGTCGAACACGTTGAGGTGCATGTAGGCGGTCAAACTGCCCCTGCTGGACTGGGCTGGGCGTCTACATACACCTCCGCTGTCTGCATGCAGCGTTAAGCAGCCACCGGTCTGGACGATGCAAAGCTACGACAGCGTCATGGCAACCGCGAGGGGAATGGGGAGCAGCTGGGGCCACTGACGAGCCTCCTTTTGTGCCTTCTCGACGTTCCAGGGTCTTTTTTTTGTGAGATCTGCGGCCGCGCTACGATGTGTGATGGGGAAGATGAAGGAGCGATGCAGGCTGATGGCCCAATTGCAGGCGGGCATCTACTCGATCCCCTACCTTTAGGTACCTCGTCACCTCATGAAGCTTCAAGACCTGGTAAGGTAAGGTAGACGAAGCTGCCTGTCCAGTCCAGCGAAGGACTGAATCGGGATCCACGTAAACAAGTAGCTGAGCTGTTGCTCCGCGATACAAAGAGACAGCTGTGGAATGTGCCCGACCTGACGAGACCAAAACCAAGAAGACCAACGCAGACGCAGACACAGTTGAGTCTTGCTCGTTTTGTCTCGTCCCAACCCAGATATAGCTCTCTCCTTCCCAATCATTCGTCTTCCGTCTGTCTCGCCTCTTTCTTCTCAGCCCGTGTGCCACGGCGTATGTGTCTTGCTCTTGTCATTCTTTGCATCCCACCATCCCACCATCCCGCCATCCCACCTCATTTGCGAATTTGCGACTCCTACCTCTCTTCAGTCCTCACTTCAGTCCTCACTTCAATTACAGACAGAGTATTGAGTATTCGCCCGAGAATACCACCTTCCAACGACCACACACACCTCCGTCACGGTACCTGATCCCACCGCAAGGGTAACGCTACTCCAACTGACGGATCACCAACCCATTTCCCGCTCCCCTTGACATCCATCACCCCTGCATCTCGCTGGTCTACGGATCCTTACCCAAAGAGCTGAACCAAAAAGTGGTCAACGTCTGAGACCCCATCCCAAGGAGTCAGGACGGCCGTGCTCTCTCACAAGGGCTCACAAGGGGAAAGGAGGCTCAGAGCGTCACAAAAAGCCCCTCGTCTGGCGACCACTTTAACTCTTTTGCTTGCGTCGGGCTTCTTTTGTCCTTCATCTTCTCATCGTCGCCGTCGTTGCCGACTGCCCTGGTATCTTTGCCCGGGCCTCTCTCTCTCTCTCTTTCGCTCTCCCTGCGACTCATACGGAACCCTTGGTATCAGTCGGCGCTGGTCAAGCTGTTCGGAGCTGTCAGATGATCTGTCAGGCTCATTGAAAGACGAACTCGCAACGACTGTTAGAGACAAATCATTCTCCACGTCAAAGACACGCCCAAGGCCCCGAGACGATCACACCTCACGGTTCTTTAGCTCTTAGCGCTCTTTCGGTATAGCGTCCGCCTGTCTATCTGCCAGTTCACCGCCTACCGCCCAATCGACCGGAATTTGTCCTGTCCGCCACGTCTTTGCGCTTGCCTTTCCCACCCAAGGCTGTCAAATATTTACGAATTAACCCTCCCGTTCTATCGCCCAACACGGCCTGCCTCGCGCCTCTCATTCGCTGCTCAGCTGCAATTGCGACTAAGGCAAGCAACCTTAGTTGACGTTGGCCCCAAGATACCTTACCTTGCGGGCGACGAGTGGGGCGTTCGGGAATCAACACCACCACAACCTGGAACCTGGTCTTACCTGCGCCGCCTAGTAGTGAGCCAAGGCCAGTAAAGCTGCCATCCGGTGCGCAATCTAGCGGTCGCATTACTGGCCGGCACCCTGTACGCGAGCACCCGCGCCCAATAATCTTCTGGACCCGTCTGGCCTTAAACACCCAAATCGACCCGACCTGACTGTTCATCATGTCCGTCACCACAACAACAGCGACCGCCGCATACGCGCCGACCCATAGAAGTCTTGCCCACCCGCCGCGAACTCTTCGCAAAGCTACCAGCTTCACTAGCAACTTCGCCTCCTCCACAACCGCTTCCTCTCCCAGTCTTAATTGCCTCTACAACACACATTCGCGACTTACGCCCTCCCATCAATCGCTTCCGCGCAAATCCTCCTTGGCTGCTCTTACTCCCAAGTCTCTCGCCTCCATCCCCGATGTAAGCGAGTCCTATGCCTACAACAGCGTGCTAGCCGAGTCGCCCGATCGCAAAATGCCACCCGCCACGCCCGGTAGGGCCGGGACCGATTTCGTTCTCGGCGATGTCGTTGAAGTCCCGGGCAACATGTTAGGCACTGTCCGTTTTATTGGTTCGGTGGATGGAAAGAAGGGCACTTTTGCTGGTGTCGAGCTGCATCCCGAGTTCTCTCAGCGGGGCAAGAACTCGGGCGAAGTGGAAGGGTAAGTTTGCGCCCAACCAGTTTGTCAATAACATTCGCGCCTGACTGCATCTAGTGTTTCCTACTTTACTACGACTCTTCCTGGCGCAGGCATCTTTCTCCCTCTCAACAAAGCCGTGAGACGAGACTCTCCTCCTGGCTCGTCTTCCAGCTCGTTTCCTCACACTCCCACTGCCAGCACCATGGGCGGTCTCAAGGTCGGCACGCAGAACTCCACGAACACACCTCCGACGCCGTCAGTGCCGCTATTCAGCAAATCTGTTGGCCCTGGCATTGCCCCCGGCCGATCAGTCAGTCCTCAACTGAAGAAGTCGATGAGCAGGCCCTCTGTACGCCCGGAGTCGCCTGTACGAAAATTACAGATGACCCCAGGACCGAGACCATCACTGGCGACACCCGGAAAGGTGCCTTCCAAATACAGCTCTCCTGCCCCGAATCGCTTCGCGCAGAGCGTTCGTGGAACGGCTGGAGACCCGAGCAAAGGTTCACGATTGGATAGGAAGCCAAGTGTTGGTCCGCGCAGTGCCTCTGCCCTTGGCCAAACGTCAATGTTTGACGAAGAGCCGATGCCCCAGCCACCAGCCACTCTGCAGCGAACACAGACCAATGGGAGCACCAATTCGGTATCTTCCTACAGCTCCAAGTTCAGAGTACCGTCGCGGGCTGGAGCCGGCTCAAGGGCCGCGTCACGAGCTCAGAACGACGACGAGGTTGACCGGCTTAGAGCACAACTGGACGACCGTGAAAGGCAGTTGAGGGATCAAGCATCTACGTTGGCAGAGATGGAGAGCAGTTTGACCGAGCTTCAGACTCTTATGGAGAGTTCGGATCTGTCAGCACCCAAGCGCAACAGTCTCGACGATAAGGACTCGATGCAACTTCGCGCATTGGTCAGAGAAAAGAATGAGAAGATTGCGATGCTCACTGCCGAGTTCGACGCACACCGAGCTGACTTCCGAAGCACCATCGACACCCTCGAAATGGCTAGTTCCGAAACCGAACGAGTATACGAAAAGCGCATTGATGAGTTGATGATGGAAATGCGTGAGCTCGAATCGCGGACGGATGACGTAGATTCGGTTGCTCGTCAGTTGAAGCAGCTTGAGGAGTTGGTTCAAGAGCTCGAAGAGGGTCTCGAGGACGCACGACGCGGTGAAGCGGAAGCAAGAGGGGAGGTCGAATTCCTCCGTGGTGAAGTCGAGCGTACACGAACTGAGCTGCGCAGGGAGCGCGAAAAGGCATCAGCCGGAATGAACGGCACCACAGGTCCAAGCAACGGAGACCGTGGCTCCATTTCCAAGGAATTGGAGCAGAAGGAAGATGAGATTCGGGGTCTTAAGGCGATCATCCACTCTCTCAGTCGCGATTCTGTTCCTGGGGCCGACAAAGCTGAGGACCCCTCCGTACGCGAGAACGCAGTGGCTCGTGAAAGGCTGGAGCTCGAGCTGGCAGAGCTCAATGATGTCGTGAAAGACAAGAGCCGTCGCGAGGAGGAGCTCGAGCGGGAAGTGGAGAGACTTCGTAGGGGAAGCGTCACGACTCAGCTCACCGGACCTCTGGCCAACGGCGGTGCGCAGCGTTCTTCATTACGCGATTCTCGAGATACCGTCATCTTGATGCGCAACAGCGAGCCCCAGTCTCCCACGACGACGCACAAGCGTGTTCGTACACTGGACACGATGCCCGAAAGTGACGCCTACTCATCAGTCACGGATAATAGTACTCTTTGGTGCGAAATTTGCGAGACTGGCGGACACGATATCCTTACTTGCACCAATATGTTTGGCAACGAGGGTGGCAAGACCAACGGCGATGCCGGCAAGGCCATCAAGGAGGAACTGAAGCCCATCCCCGCCGAAGACAAACCGGCTCCTCTATCGCCAATCAAGTCTAAGCCGCTTGCTCCTCCGCCGACCGTCAAGATCTTCCCAAACCCGATGGATTCCGGCCCTGTGGCTGGAAAGGAGAGCGGAATTGTCGACGTCTCCAAGTGGTGTGCCCTATGTGAGAGAGATGGACACGAAAGCGTCGATTGTCCATTCGAAGATGCATTCTAGGCGGATGGACCTTGAATCTCGACAGCAAGCGTTGTTTTGGATTGAAAAGAAGGGCCTGCCCACTCTGGTGTGCTTGTCTTGGCCGGTCTTTCAATGTCAGAGTGCGGTATATCCCATTTTGTGTAGGATTCAAGGGCGGCTAGAGCGATGGAAGTTTTTCGTTCGTGACAGCATTTGTAGCGATGATACCACAGCTCGATGAGAATTGTGTTTCGCGGAGTTGGTTTCGCATGTTGAAGTCAACCGACAGCAGGGGATGGTGACATGAGGTCATTGGCTTGCTTTGTTGACATTCAGTTCACCCCGAGAGGTTTCTATAATACTAATAGTAGTAGACCTTCAAAACATGAATAATGAATCCATTGCAGACACCCCTCAATCGACGGGAGATTCTCGTGGGCTGTGAAGCTCTTCGGTCGAGAAGTCAATATCATCAAATGTTCCTAGAGGACGGGCTGCATTCAGACGACAAGGGTCTTCCCGTCGCTGCCGGCCGGGGGCCTCTGGTGTTCAATGCCACTCTCCAGTGTGTGCCCTTCCACGTTTCTCCACCTCAGAGGGTCCCTGGTGACGTTTCACGGCCTTTGCGCACGACGGGGGATTCGTACCTCAAATCCTCAGCAGGGCGCAGCCCAGAGCTGGGTATTGGGTGCCAGGCATGTCTGGTGAGGTACATACTCCGTTGTTGGTCTGATGTGTCTATCCCCTTGAAGAAGTCGCCTCAGATCATGTCAAAGTTTTCGTCGTATTTTTTCCCTTTAATTTCCAATTGAGAATAGTGATCTCGTCCTTAACAATTGCTTGCGGCAAGCACAGAATGATCGCATTCTTTCCCGGCGACTATACACTAGAACATCTATATACCGGTACTCGATTGCAGACTCTACAACGGCCCTCCCGAGTCCCGCGTTTCCCGAAAGCGGATCCTAGGAAGCGCACTACTGGGACGTGGACCGTACCGCAGCACTACGGACCTGCGTCAGCGTCCCCGTCAACCCGTCAGCTTCCTGCCCACTTTGGTTACCGGGGGGAAAGCAAGCAAGCAGTGGCACAGCACACAGCATAGCAGCAAGTAAGCGGGCAAGCTATTAGCTGTCCTGATTCTTGTTTCTTCAATCGCGCGCCAACGCAATATCCCACGATCTTACAGCATTCGACCCCGTTGGGCCTCTTTTTGTCATTTCAATTGTTGTCCGCGTAGTTCCAATCGCGAGACTTGCTTAACGACACTTTTCTCCCGACCTCATTCGTCACGGACCTCCAATTCCGGGTAGAGAATACGCTTTCTCTTCTCAACGTGTCTGATCACCAATACGCCGACCAAGAACGGACGACTACGGAATCTCTTTGGTCTGCAACACCAGCGCTTCAACGTCTACCATAAGCGAACTCGACGACAATTCCCTAGACTGCCGTACCGTACCGGGTTGAACCCCCCAGTCGTCTTTACGCAATCAATACACACCCGCCCTTCAAGATGGCGCAAATATTCCTCGACGTGCTCTACTCCTTTGGCAACTGCCTCAACTGCTTCCCCGGCTCGCCGACACTCAAGATCAACAGTCGGAGCTTCAAGATCCTCCGCCTGCTGGGCGAGGTAAGCTTCCTTCGCGCTCTCCTCTTTCCCACGCTTGACGAATCGGAACATGTACTAATCATTGCGAAAACACACAGGGCGGCTTCTCCTACGTCTACCTCGTCCAAGACACCCAAACCGCCGAAGAATTCGCCCTCAAAAAGATCCGATGCCCCTTTGGCGCAGAGTCGGTCGCCCAGGCCATGAAGGAGGTCGACGCCTACCGCCTCTTCGCCCGCAGCCCGGGCATCATCCACGGTGTCGACCACGCCATCGCCACCGAGCGCGGCGGCGAGCCCGGCTCCAAGACGGTCTACGTCCTCCTCCCCTACTACCGCCGCGGCAACCTCCAGGACCTCATCAACGCCAACCTCGTAAACCACACTGCCTTCCCCGAGCGCAGGCTCATGCTCTTGTTTCTCGGGGTGTGCAAGGCGCTCAGGGAGATGCATCACTACGCCGGCGGTGGCGGGCAATCCTCGTCACAGCCCGCCGCAATGGAGAGGATGGAGATGGGCAACGGCGACGAAGACGATCAGGGCGCCGGGCCGAAGCGCAAGAAGAGCGGGAAGAAGAACAAGGGCGGGAAGCGCGTCTCCAGTATGGCGGCCGCCGCGGGCGCAGACGAAGAGGACGAGAACGAGCAGCAGAGGCCGCTGATGGAGGGCGAGACGCCCGGGTCCGGGGACGTAAAGTCGTACGCGCATCGGGATATCAAGCCAGGTTCGTTGCTCCCTAATCCCTAATCGCCCTCGTTTGCTCTTCAGAAAGACAGACGCCCAAGACTAACGTTGCGACCAAAAATAGGCAACATCATGATTGACGACTCGGGCTCAAACCCAATCCTAATGGACCTGGGCTCCATCGCCCCCTCCCCGATCCCGATAACGTCCCACTCCCTCGCCATCGCCGTCCAGGACACGGCCGCCGAGCACAGCACGATGCCCTACCGCGCCCCCGAACTCTTCGACGTCCGCACGGGGACCGTCATCGACACAAAAGTCGACATCTGGTCCATGGGCTGCACCCTCTACGCCTGCCTCGTCGGCAAGTCCCCCTTTGAGGCCCGCTCCGACGAGACGGGCGGCTCCCTCAGCATGTGCGTCCTCGGCGGCGACTGGCGCTTCCCCGACGAGGGCATCAAGCGCACGGGAACCAGCGGCGGCATGAAGGGCAAAGCGGCCGCCACGGCGGACGCCGGTGCGGGAGCCGGAGAAGTCAAGATCAGCGAGCCCATTCGCGATGTCGTGAGGAAATGTCTCAATGTCGAGCCTACTGAGAGGCCAGACATTGACGAGCTCATTGACCTGGTGGAGAGCGTCATTGAAGACCTGCCTCAAGAGGGGTCGCTGTGAATGAGGTAGACGGACTCAAAGGACGAACGAAACCAAGAGGCTTGCGCAAAGAGTGATGTATTGTATAACGATGTTTCATCTTTCTACTATTCCCAAGGAAGATTCGATGGGCTTCATGTCACCACGGCGTTCTAGGGAGGGCGTATGTAGGCAAAGGAGCTAGAGAGATATTCTGGGGTTTTTTTGGGTTTTTTTTTCAAGAGTTTTCTGAAGTACAGGTATTCACGTCCCAGGCGCCTACTAAAAGCCTTCATTATCCATCGCAGCGCCTCCTAGCCCAAGTGTACATATTCGTGGTCCAAGATCTCGCTCAAGGTGGAGGCGAGCTGTTCGTTCACCTCGTCATACTCATCCTCATCCGAGGGACACTCGTGATCGAGACCGCAGTCGCTCAAATCTTCGTCCTACAACTCGAGGCGGTATGTTGCGATCTCGAAGGGTCGCAGAGTAATCGAGAACTTTCCACCGTCAATCTTGATCTCCTCAATGTCGTCCTCCAAAAGGTTGCACTTGAAAACGCGCTTGACGTCCCAAGTCGTCTCAATGACACCCTTGCTCTGGCCGCCGAGACTGTCGTAAACGCGAAGAATAACGTTGCGGCCCTTGCGCTTGGGGAGCTCGCCACGCGTTACATCCTCGTCGTCCTCGCCACGCTTGACGGTATCGAGGATTAGGGAGCCATCCCCAGTGAGCTTCACAGGGCTCTTATGGAGAGATGCCTGCACGGCGCTGGGCGCAGAGAGTAGCTTCAGAGGGCTGTTGAAGGCGTAGGCTGCCCGTACAGTGGAGGAGCTCAGTGTTCCTTCGTGAGGGAAGATCGCCCAGCGAATTTGGTGCGTTCCCATGTCAGCGTGAGCATCAGGAGCCTTGGGAGACCGAAGAAGAGAGAGGCGCTGCAGGTTACCGACAGTGGCGAAACCATACTTGCTATCGTTAAGGATAGAAACTCCGTAGTTGTGCTCAGAGAGATCGGCGAAACGGTGGCAGCAGACCTCGAACTTGGCCATGTCCCAGCTGTACAATTCATTAGCAATAGCTCTGTCATGACATATTGGAAAAAGCATACCTAGTGTTGTAGTGAGTAGGTCGCTTCACAAGACCATACGCTGTTTCGTAAGAGGCCTCGGTATTTCTGACATCCACGGGGAATTCGACCTTGAGGAACTTCATAGTCTCGTGCCAGTCAACTTCAGCACTGCACTCAACCCATGACTGTTGCCCCTTGAGGGCGGCGGAGAGAGAAATAGTGGACTTGATCGAACTTTCTTCGCTGATCTTGATCTGAGTAGTCAAGCTGACGCGATGGGCCTTTTGCTCAGTAATTGACGTTGTGCCACTCGGGAGCTCCTTTCGAGTGTCGAGATGGTACACCTCGACATCCCAAGCTTGCCAGTAGAGAGGCTTGTCATCAAAAATGACATACTGATTGGCCTTGCCTCCCTTTGCGATCACCTCGCGATCGGCATTGCGGTCGTAGAGGGATGTAATGGTGCCATTCTCGACCTTGACCTTGAGCTGGTCGTTTTGTAACACAAAGACGCCGCTGCTAACTTCTTCAATCGTAACAGCTGGTTCTTCTTCAGAAATCTTGAAGGGACGAATGGTCAACAACTGGCCCTCGCCGCAGGCAACACCCGCTTCGGTCTCGGATATTTCGACAACCTCCTTGCGGTGCCAAGGGAGAGTATTCAGGGCAACCGTCTCACTAAGACGGCCGGTGGTGGCGGCGGACGCTCCAAAGACACTGTGGATATCTTCAAGAATCTTCTTGCCCGTCTTGAAGACCATGTCATAGAGCTAGCCAATCTAGTCAGCAATAGTTCAGGTGAAATCCGCTGTGTCGAGACCTACCTCGTCTGAATCATCGTAGCACATCTCGATGGAGCTACCCGGAAGACAATCGTGGAATTGACAGAGCAGGACAGCCTCCCACATATCGTCAATTTCCTTCTTGGGATACTTGTAGCTCTTGCTGGTATCACTAAGCGTCGCAATGGTGGCAAGCAGTTCAACTTCCCTGAGCAGGACCTCCGACTTGCGGTTGTTGAGCTTGTTGTTCGCCTGCGTGGTGTATGTACCACGATGAAGCTCGAAATAGAGCTCGCCGTACCAGGTGACAAACTCTGTGGCTTTCGGCTGCAGCTTGTCGAAGAAGTCATCGACGCTGTTGCCCATCTGCACTCTAGGCAGCATGCCAATCTGATCGGAGATACCGCGACACCTGCGGAGCTTTTCGAGGTGCTGCCAAGTAGGGCCGCCGCCACCATCGCCCTTTCCGAATACAAGCAAGGAGGTGTGGTCCTGGTCCATCGACTTGTGCTGGCTGACACTGCGCTTCACGTCGCCAAAGTGCGCTTCGGCAGTATAGGTCTCTGATGGTGGCATGTGGCAGATTACTTGGCTACCATCAAGAGCAACCCAGTTGAAGGTGGTGTGTGGGAAGTTGTTGATGTTGTTCCAGCTGAGCTTCTGGGTGAGGAAGCGATTCATGCCAGCAAGTCGGCACAGCTGTGGAAGCTGAGCAGCGTATCCAAAGGTGTCGGGAAGCCAGAAGGTCTGGCAACGCTCGCCAAAGTTGCTCTCAAAAAATCTCTGTCCGTACAGGAATTGTCGCACAAGAGACTCTCCACTGGGCATGTTGGTGTCGTGCTCGACCCAGCTGCCTCCGATAGGATGGAATCGGCCCTCCTTGACCTTCGTCTTGACACGATCAAAGGCGTAGGGGTACAACTCCTTCAACCATTTGTATTGCTGGGCTTGCGAACAAGCAAAGTTCAGCTCTGGGTATCGATCCATCAAATCGCACTGGTTAGACCAAGACCTGACGACTTTGCGCTTGGTCTCAGCCCAAGGCCAGAGCCAACAACTATCGATATGACAATGGCCAATGCCGTAGACCTGAGGCTCTTTGTCATCGCTGTAGACCTTGTGCGAGTCGACATTCGAACCAAGGTACTCCTGAGCAATCTTTCGACACTTTACGATCGATTCCTTGTTGCCGAGCTCAAAGGCGTCAATGACATCGGTGGCAACCTTGAGAGCTCTGTGCTGCTCCCACGAGTCCTGAGGAAACTCCCGTGCAGCATCGCCAATGATCCAGATATCAAAGTAAAGTGCTCGTGCTTCGGGGTTGACAGCAACTATGTCAGCCCGTCCCAGTTGGAAGTACTTGTTTGGGTCTGGAGGCTGGATTGAGTCTCCACCGGGAGCGTTTCCAAACATGCCGTTGCAGGCCATCTCGATGTAGATGATGTGTTCCTTGCCGTCCCTGAACTCCTTGGGCAGGATCCATTCTACCCGCTCGCCACCCCCAGTAAGACCCTGCAGCGGCTTGCCATCCTCGGTCCAGATGAGGCCTTCATTATTGGCATCCCAGTGAAGTTCAAGCAGGTCCTTGTCACGAAGTTCTTTCGGAACGGTCAAGACAACCTTGAACCAATGTGTCGACCATGATGGGCCAAACCAGGCGCCCACCTCGGTCTTTTTGAATTCGTGCGAAACAGCGTCCTTGAACGTTGGTCGAGTGGTTTCGGGAGCGTCCCAGACGGACAGTTTAACATGAGGTTCGCCCGATGCGGTGCCCTCCGTCATCATGCTATAGCGCAGTTAGCGGGACGTTCCCCAGCTTTACTACGGGGCATTGTGGGGGGTTACGCACGCCAGGAGATTGTGCTTCTCCCATTGCCCGGTAGAGTAGAATTGGTTAATTCTATCCTTGTAGAGCTTTGAGATCCATTGTCCGACAGGTCGAGACGCGAGAGCTGGGTAAGAGCTCTTGCTCTTGAGTTCTTTTCCGCCGCCCATGGTGGTCTGTCCAGCGAAGCCGTCGAGTAGCCTGTCTTCGGACTGCTTAAATTGCTCGACGGTACCAGGTGGAGCTGATCGATTGTTCAATCGGCGTACACGATGGGGCACCGATAAGTGGTGATGATCGGTTCGCGAAGCAGTTAAAGGTGGACCGGCGCCTTGTTCTTCTGAAGACTGGAAAGCTTGGAAGGCGTCGTTGAGGTGTTGATTAAGGGTTTTGGAGTTGTTATGGCTACGAAAGGAGGGTGTTCTTGTTAGCTTTGACCTCGGGATTGTCTGAAAGCAGAGACGGACTCGAAGCTCTTGAGGGGGGAGCTAAGGTAGAGCACGGGAGTACCCCTGCAGTACAGATAGACAGACACTGAAACACAGCCAGTAGGAGCGTGCGGGGACAGCTCGGTGCAGCGACAAGTGCGGGGAGGTTGGGCAAAGGATGGGCGTGTGATGGAGGTGACGCAGCCATCATGCGATCCCCCTTGGAGAAGCTAAGTAGCTCGGAACACCGGGCGGAATATGCTCGGTGGATCGTCCACCATTGAGAGCACCTCACATACCTCATCTTGTCGATGTGGTGATACGAATACAGCGCCCAGCGGCTGAGAGGGGAAGGTGACGGTATAGAGGATTGTCGACAAGACCGATGTTAGGATTGTGATTCGATATCCGCCCGGGCTGAGATGGCCGGAGCAAGAAGCGCCACGGATGGAGATGAGGTAGACGAGTACAATGAGGATACGGATGGCCACCAAAAAGGAACAAGTGCCCTCGTAGAAAGGAAACAAGAAACGATGCAGAGCACAGCTTGTTATTGTGAGGTGTCGAATGCCACCTTGCAGTAAGTGTGATGTTGACGATAGAATTTGGAGACAGCCAGGATGTACCTTCGTCGGTGTAAGTCATACTTTCATTGCTTTCGACCGAGTGTACTTACCCCCAGCCGGTATGCACCAACACCCAAGTACGGTTGCTTTCGACTGGCGCACTTGCAACTTACCTTGGTTCATCCATGGTCATACAGGTATCGCGGTCCAAAATGCTCCTGCTGCGCCTGAAGTGGGCGAGTACGTAGCGCTTCTCAGAAACCTAGGTTACACATGAAGGGGGCTCCGCAACGAACTACCCTGTGGCTAAATATTGTATTTTGGTTAGAAGCACCTCCCTACCCGGATTACTCGTTCACTATCTCGACCACGTTGCATTGTTTCCCATACGCGCTTTCGACTTCAATGTCCATACAACGGATCAGATGGATAGAAATGGTGAGAGAGGGAGAGTCATATCATACAGTCAGGGTACTTGGTCATAAATATTCACAACTTCGAATTGGATCTCGTGAACAGTTGCCCAGCCATCAAACGCAATATCACGCACCACGATTTGACAAAAAATGGTCTTGTGAGCTTGAGACGCAAATACAGTTACACCAATACAACGACAAGAAGAGGTCACATCATTGGGAGACATCGGGCAGAGCAGGTGTCAGTTCTGTACGCCTTCGCTTGCATGTAAGGGTAGAACGAGGTGGATATCCGGGGCAACCTGTAGGGAGTGGGAGACGTGCAGATGAGTGCGCATATCGCTTGTCAGTCAAATGGGGAACCGGCGGCAGCTTGATCGCGATGACCAGATCACCAGTTAAGAGCCCGAGGGCACACTCTTTCATAGGAGACCCCCTCCACTTCCCATGTGCAAGAGAACAGCACCGGAAAATGTCAACCGACGGAAGTGGCGCCAATAAAAGACAAGCCCAACCCCGGTTGGTTGGAGGGCATGGCTTGCTGTTCGTAAGCGAAAAGCGATGGTTCGATTGTTCCACGAGATTTAAAAAATCGGTGCCCGCCAACATACGATCCCCCGATTTAAGGTTTCCCCCCATCTACTTCTATCACTTTGCAAGTTCAGAGGCAGAGATCCATCAGCTTTTCAAGGCTTGAGATGATCACTCATCAGCTGAAACTTGTAGAATGGGATGATTTCAATATGTTGTAAGAATATTCGTCTTTGTTTCCTACAGACGCGGTCCAGGATATATAGATACTATGTGCAAAGTGGCCAAAATAGCAAGGTATGTAGATCGCCCAGGGTAACTAATCCAATCGTCACATCGTTGTCCATGCCCGCCGTTCAACGCCACACATTGAAAAAGCCAAAAAGCCGAGAAAGAAGCAAACCTGAAGTCCCCAAACACCAACTTCAAGATGACAAGCCAGAGTCCTTGCCCCGACTTCCGGTGCCAGTGCCTGTACCGCGGTGAACGAGTTCGGATCCATCCTCTTCGTCCTCCTCATCGTCTAGATCCAAATCTTCATCGTCGTATTCTTCAACTTCCCCATCTTCGAGCTCATCCTCCATGAGCTGGTCAAAGTCGTCGTCGGCCTCGCTCTCACTCTCGCTTTCGTCCTCCTCGAAGCCTAGCACGCCGAGGATGGGCACTTCCACCTTGCGGTACTGACTCCTAATCATGTTGTCGGCCATCTCAAATAGCTTGGTGTCTTTGTCCGGTGGGACCTCCTTGTCCATGGAGAAGTGGGCTTCCTCTTGGTCAGCGAGGTCATCGAGCCCCGGGATGTGCGGTGATGACATGCCCTCGGGCACATTCATGACCCAGCGCCGTACTCCTTCGCCCTTTGTAACGCGGGACCGGGTGCTCTGCGCTCTCAAGCCGGTGCGGAACTGCTTCTTTTGCCTCCGGCGTCTCCGCTGAATCCGGTCGCGGATGTACCACGCCACCACCAACATGGCTGCCTGCATCATCTCTTGACACTTTTGCCTGTGCATGTTGGCCCAAGCCTGGCATCTTTGCTGCTGCGCGTTGGAGATAGCCTGGCAACGTTGCTGGTAATAGGCAGCGATACGCGAAACCATGGCGACATATCGGGGATCCATGGGCGGCTGGTTCGGGTCTGCATTCGCACTAGGAATCGACGTCGGCTTTGGAGGGGCCATGGACGGGTTGTTTAATGGGGATTGCTCCTTCTTCATTGTGACATGATCATTGGTGATGTTGGCCTCGGCGGCCTTGCGTTTCAGTTGAGCAGAAAGGGGAAGTGCAGGTTTCCGGAAGGAGAGATGCTCGGGCGGAGGTGTGACGGGAGCTAAAGGGTTGAAGTTGATTGTAGGTAGATGCGCCGCCATAAAGGGTGGATGTGATGTGAGCAGCGTTGCTCTATCGTGGAACGTGGTGTAGTTGGTTTGGTGTTATTGAGGTTCAAGTTGCAAGTGCACCGGGGCGTGTAAGCGAGTTCGGTCTGTTGTCGATCGAAGACACGTTCGTAACAGCAACGGGAGAATGGTGTCTAATATCTGAAATACTAGACAAGTCGTAGGATAAGGTATTCGGTAGTGATAGATGACAGAGTGAGGTGAGTCCGGGAGGATCGAGGACCAGGAAGGAGTCGTGGATGTTGGGAGCGGCGGGAGTAATAGTAGTGGTTGTGGTGGGCGGTGGTGGTGGTAGTAGTATTTGTGTTGGCAGCAGATGAGACGGATAAGAGTGTGGGATGGATGGGATCCGCTGAAGACAGATAGACAGGCGAGGTAGACGTATCAAACCAAGTGTTCGGTAGGAAATGAGGGGTGACTGATTGGAAACGGGGGGCGCTGAAAAAGAGATATATACCTACAAGGCGATATTTCAAATGCAAAGGGCGACATGACGGCGCATGTTGCCATGTTTGGGCCAAGGGTCTGATGATAAATTTGGAGAGTGAGCGAGAATGGGCTGAGAAGGAGTCGAAATCGGCCGATACCGAATGGCAACCGCGCCGTACTTTTGGGGCCAGGCCCGGTACGTACCCCACGTACCTCGATGCTGTAGGGCGGGCGTCCCAGGTACTTTCACCGACTTGTTGCAACTCCGCTTACAACGGCCATCCCGTGAGCCACGGGTGGGTCCTCTTGTCTTTCTCTCTCGAAGGTGCTCCTTCTTCCTTCTGTCGCACTTTCCATCCATCAAGCGGACATAGGGATTAGGGGATTGTGCTTTCCTTACAGCCATTTACCGGTCAAGCGCATTACCTTCCTGTACAGTAAGGTACCTGCTTACCAAGGTGCCTAAGGTAAAGGGAGGTAATGGCGGTCAGACTGTACTTTCCTTTCCGTCAAAAAGCGATGTATCCGGCGCAGGTGAGGTAAGCAGTGGGTGGCATTATTGTGCTTACACGTCGCAACTCTCCGGGCCCAACCTAACCTCATTACACCTCACCTCGATAGCCAGCCTGGGTGAAGTGGGTGGACTCTCATCCAAGCATTATCCAGTCGCCTGGTATGAGTGTGGCATGCTACGATCCGAACCATCCATTTCCCCATAATCCCATGTTGCACTGTCCCATCGTCTGCCTTGCGTCCTCATGCGTGCACGTCCGACGATGTCTTCTCCAGATAGCCTCCAGCAGCCGCTGCCAGACCAAGCCGCCCCATCATCACACATGCCGTCTCAGTAGCCACACTCGCACAACATCAACGCAACTTTCGCTTTTGAAAACCCATATTTTGTTCACATTGGCTTTCTCCCCCTTACCCTTTGCAGCCCCGCGCGCTGCGGATCGGGTCCTGGCATGCGGATTCTGTTCTCCATCCATCGTCAATGTCAAAACGCAACAGCCCATGTCTTTCCATCTTAACCGGACATTCCCATGCCGCCGCTGCCATGTGTCCAGGCCCAGACACCGCCAGCACACATTACACACAGGTAGTTGTCAAGCTAGGAAGGCACCACGAGCAAAGCTACCCTGGAAAGGGCAAGAAACGCAGGGTGCTGCCGCACAATGGAGATTGGGTGTTCTGGGGCGGCGGCAACCTCTGCCCGTCTGCCCATCTTTGATTGTCTCCAGCCCACCCTCATCCGCCTTCCTGCAAGCAGTCTCAGGCTCATAGGTTAAGTTCCCCCTAAAGACCCAAAAGACCCGAAATGGTCAAGGTGATGGATCCAGCTGTTCGTTGATCCCAATGGCCGGTGAGCCACGATATGGCCATGACCGCTACGTATGATGCGACCCCCGCCCTGTCAATCTCAACATGACGGTGTTATCATTCGACCATCGCCCGCAGAGCTATGCACTATAGCACAAGCCTCACCACCAACAGAGAGTTCGCTTCTTCTCAGTGGCTGTCTAGGCGCTGTTGGCATGTCGGACACTGTGTTTTGTGCCCGAAATTCTGGTTCTTTCGTTCACCTCCTTGCTGCAACGAGGCAACCACGATGCCGGATCGTTCCGCAACTCTGGCCCAAGAATACCCGAACCTTCCATCCAAAACAACCCGGGGCTTGAGATCTTCACCCTCGAGACGAGTTTACTGGAAAGAAATACAGTCATCCATTACAGGAGCGCACTGTTACCCACACACCATAATCCATTGAAACTCCCTATCTTGGCCAACAGGTTGTTGTAATTGTGGCCCTTTCAACTCCAACGGGCCTCCACGCTTGTCCCTGCTACGTACGACCTCTCCAACAGAATGACGCTAGACGAAACAGAGTCTCGTAAGACGATGATGCACACCAGGCAGGTACCCGTAAAAAAGAACCAACGTGCCTACCCAAATGCAACACCCTACAGCAAACGCAATCTTTGATCGTCATTGATGCTGTCCTTTCTTGGCTTTTTCGCGCTCACAGCAACTACGATCTTGACACATCCCTCCCTTTCGCCGCAAATCTTGCTTACAAGACCGACTCTATCTGCCTCGATGGGCCAAACAAGACCTTACTTCTGCGGGTACAGGACCCCTAATTCCGATAGTATCCCCTTCTCCATTAACCCCGTTTCTTCTCCGCTTGGCAACTCCATTCTTGTTTGGTCCTGCATCCAGTTGGCGAAGCTGCCGCAATGATTACGTTACCACTGCAATAGACTGGCTTTATCCAGATCCCAAGGTATCCGCAGGCATTCATTATTGCCCGCAGTCCGATTGCCTCCCGTCTATTGTGTAATTGTGTTGGTGTAAGCAGGCCCCCCGCCGTCACATCTCCGACGACACAGAGGGCCTCGTTTAACTGCCCGTTTATCGCCGATAGCCTTCAGGAACATGTCATGCCATTTCCACCCCGGTCTGTACGTATGCCATGCTACCTTACCTCAACTTAAGGCACCTCAACGCGGTGCGAACCACAAACCCGGACACCTGGACCATGTGCCCCACACAGCAGTTCACAGCGACCGGCCTGCCAGGCCCGTCTGCAAAGAATCCTCCCAATGGGAGCCAATCGATTGGGGCGGGTTCAAGCTACCGTCCCGAAAAATCTCGCGATAATTCACGTCCGCGCTGCCGCTCGCATGATTTCCATTCAGCCCATTTCAACCCCGGTTTCCATCTATCTTTTACCCGAATCATTATCTCATCATTCGACTGTAACCTCCGCTTGCCGTCACAGCACCATACTACAGTACATTCCTAAGCTCCCTTGCGCATGTACCTACACTGACTAACCCAATCAACCAACAAGGCCAAAGGAAAAAACTTGGATCGACATCGCGTCCAAACAGCTCACATTCATGATATGCTCACATGTTACCCCGACCACTCACCACACTCGCCTGTCATGATCTGGTTACCCCGTTACTGACTACTGCCCGATCTTGTTCTGTCTCCGCACCTCACCTCCGCCTACGCCGCTGCAATGGAGTGACTCGCGGCTCCAGCTTCGGCCGAGGAGTTGGAGTTTCTGGACTGCCGGGCGGGAGGAGCTGGCACTTGTCCGTCTTTGCCAGGGGCAAGAAGACAAAGTCCAAAGTGAAGCTGGATGATCTACCCCAGGGCGTTTTGCCGCTGGATCCCCGTCCCGTGCAAGATGAGGGCCCGACCTATCCAACCGTGGTGCTGCAAGCGCGCCGCAACATGCAAAAATTCGACAACTGCGTGCTCTTGACGCGAGTCGGCGGTTTCTATGAGCTGTACTTTGAGCACGCCGAGGAGTTCGGCCCCCTCTTGAACCTCAAGGTTGCTCAGAAAAAGACGAGTGCTGGTCCGGTTTCCATGGTAAATTAGTTCTCCTCTCGTGTACCAGAAAAACGTGCGTTGTTAGTCTCGTGTTCTTTGGTTCTGATATGTGATGGTTACTAGGCCGGCTTTCCCTTCTTTCAGCTGGATCGGTTCCTCAAGATGCTGGTCCAGGATCTGAATCGCTATGTCGCCATTGCTGAGGAGTTTCCCAATAATGCGTCCGAGAAGGTCAAGTCCGGTGGCCTGTTGCATGATCGGAGAGTTGCTCGTGTCATCACGCCAGGAACCTTGATTGATGAGAACTTCATGGATCCCTATGCCAATAACTACGTGCTGGCTATCCATGCGACGACAGCCCAGTCCGGGGGAGGGGTAGACGAGACAGGAGCCCCAGACTCGTCCCATTCAGCCGCTGACCGGAGCCTGACTCCGGCAACTGGTGACTCTGCCGCACCACCACCGCTACCCCTGGGCCTCGCCTGGCTAGACCTGTCCACCGGCCAGTTCTACACGCAGGCCACCGATCTGTCGGCTCTATCTTCGATCTTGTCGAGGATATGCCCCAAAGAAGTCGTGCTTGACAGCGAGATCCAGGCCCAGACAGACCATGGCCTGTTACCCATTCTCGCAGAGGACCGTCATCTGGTCACATACAGTCCCCTCGGCGACATCAGGCGTCTTTCTGATTGGACCTTTATGCTGGAGAGCGAAATCCCTCAGGCCACGCGCGATGCCTTCAGCGAACGCGAGGTCACGGCCGGCAGCCTCCTGCTGCATTACGTCAAGGAGAGGCTGCTAGGGCTGAGCATGAAGCTGCAGCCGCCGATGCGACACGAGAACATGCAAATCATGAGCATCGACAAGAACAGCGTGCGCTCACTCGAGATTAAACAGACGATCCGGGACGGCAACTTTCGCGGCAGCCTCCTCCACGCCATCAGACGGACGGCTACCAAGAGCGGCGCCCGGCTCCTCAATGACTGGCTCAGCGCGCCGTCCACGTCGCTCGACACCATCAAGCTCAGGCAGGACCTCGTCGCCCGCTTCATCGAGGAGCCGGACCTGCGCGACGGCGTGGTCCTGCTGCTCCGCCGCAGCCACGACTCCCAGCGACTCGTGCAGAAGTTCGCTCTCGGCAGAGGCGACCCGGACGACCTGGTGGCCCTGGCGAACACGATCCATGCCGCCAACAG